TGGGATGTCGGATGGCTGAGGTCTGATCCTAGTGCTTTGGCTTGTTTGCTAGATGTATGGTAGGGGTATGCTCTGTTATGAACTCACGATGCTATGATTATCTCACTCAGCTATGAGCTGACCCTCTTTATCCTTTTTCTCTGCTTATGCCATGTGTAAGCAGATTATCAGCAGCAGCAGTAGATAAGTGTTAGGTGGGAGCTTAGCAAGAGTTGAAGGCAAAATGAGGTATGGTCTTCAACTATTCTGTGCTTGGACTACTACTCGGGATTTTGGCCAGTGATCCACACCTTTTTGTAAAATGTTTTGAGAACGTTTTTCATGTGCATACTAGCTTCTGATGTAGTGTGAGATATCCACAAGTGTGGAAAGTTGATGATATGTGTATATTGTGTAATTATGTAAGTTGTGATGATTATAGCATGTATCAGTATAGTATGCATTTGTGTAGTATGAAACTGTGACTATGGCTATGAAAAGCCAATGCATATGGCAGTGAGTGTATATGTTTGTCTATGAATGCATGGATTTAGATGAATTATTTTGCAGGATTAGATGGAAGAACTGTTAGCCCATTACGTGAGTAATTCATGTCGAAATTTTATTTGGGTAAATTTTGATAATTAATGTAACACCCAAGATTAATTCCGCTGCAATTGTATGAACAATATGATTATGCAAAACGTATAGGGTAGGGTGTTACAGTTTGGTATCAGAGCTGGTTTGTTTTCTGCATTATGGGTATGTTACTTTTACTCTTGAGGACTGATCACCCTCGAAAGGGGAGGGAGTACTCCATACCTGTATTTGCACTAAACTTTCCAGGATTGGGACCAAAGGTGATGATGTGTTGCATAGTCAGTTGCATATGGTCAAACATTATTTTGAGTATTTGAAGGAATCTTGGAAATTTTATGGTTTAAGAGATTTCTGAAAATATGTGGAGTTTTTATCTTGTTGTCCAAGTAATGATTTTGAAGAAAGTTTTGTTTCAACAAAGTGAGTAACTTTGTTAGACACAAATGGTGTGTGGATCAAACTAAGGCCAATGTTTCCTTGTAGTTTGCACAGAAGTAGTTTCCGGTGTTACTACTAACTAATCGAGAAGCATGGTGGATAGCTATACAATGCAATTGAGTTTAGACTATGATGACATGATGAGTTGCGGTTGTAGATATTTGAATAGAGATATGAATCTTGATGATGTTGTGGTAACCATTTTGTAGGTTGATATAACCTTGTGTTGGTGGCAACCTATTTTGCAGGTTAATGACTTGAGTTAGTGAATTATGCTTTCGAACTTGTTGATGTGCTTTTGTTGTGATAGCCCAGTGTAGGTTTTTGAAACCTTATATTGGGAACTTGACGTGTTATGTGTTTAGTTATGTACTTCAGATCTCCTAACCTAAGAGTTAGGTAGTAACAAGATATGTGATAGTGTAGGTTAGGAGGGGGAAAGTGCGGATGCGTAGTATTGACTCAAGGATAGATTTCAGGGACGAAATCTTTTAAGGAGGGGAGAATTGTAACATCCCGTTCCGGCAAAACCCATATTTCGATCGCTAGAAAGTTCGCGATTTAAAATCGAGCGTTTTGATATTATTTCGACGAAAATCGGATTATCGATTGATCGGATAAATATACATATTAATTATATATATAATTACATTAAACCGCCGGTCCATATATATATATATATAAAGCTTCCTCATATAAAGCTTCTCCATTTATTTCAATCATCATCATCATCTTTTCTCTTTCTGAACCCGAGAGGAAACGGAAACAGAGCGAGCAGAGGAAGTACAGGGGAGCGACGAGGAAAAATTTTCCAAGCTCAATTCTTGAGTTCTAGTGATCCAAAAATCCCGTAAGTAATGCCTAATTCATCTATACATCGTGATTTATCGATTTAGAGTTTTAAAACGAGTTTTTGGTTCAGAAATTTCTCGAATTCCCGATAAGCCAAATTAGGGTTTCGGAGTATCCGGAAGCCGGATTAACCCCAAATTTCATATACGAGCTTCCTGCAGCGAGGTAATCAATCTTCTAGTTCTAATCCCTGAATTTCGGCAATTATTTAGGTCGGGGTCCTAATCGTTGAATTTAGCTCCGGCCAGGGTTTGATGTGCTTTTATCAAGAATTTGACCCGGAGCCTAGAACTAATATTGACGGGGATACTGCAGGGGATATTAGGACGGTCTCGGATTTTAATTCGGGGTTCGTTCGTGAAATTGACGTTTTAGTACGAGAAGCTAAAATCGGTGTTTGAACGACCAGAACTGGTGAGGGATTAGCACGGCATACCGGGTTTGTCGTATCACGATAATTATATTGATGCTTAGAATTGACCTAGGTGAACTAGAATGGCATGATTAGGGGTGTATGAACTTTTGTGCTATATGTTGAACCCTGGACTGCTGTATGATATTATTGACTTGCCCTAATCGATATGGACCTTGTTTATGTCGATGATTGCATACATGTTGCCATTTGTGGCTTAACTTTTGATATGACTTCCTGGTTGTTCGATAAGGTGTTTTGACATGATGTGATATTATGGTTGTATTTGGATCCATAGTGGGGGAATAAACTTCCCAGGGTGATATTATGATGTTTAAGGAGGATGACTTGCATGAGGGTTTATCCCGAGGAAGTGCAATTATACGACTCCTGTTTTACCTATGTTGAGCCAAGTATGACCCGGTCAAGTACATGTACAAGTAACGAATTATGAGTAAGCAAGATGAGATATGTATCATGTATAAGATTACCAAATAAGAGTGATTTGGTCTCATGGTCAATTACATAGTAATTAGGGCTCCCCATGCTATTACTCCGTTATGATATGTTATGTCACACCCCTGATGTGGTGTTGACCGTTGATTCATCATGAGATATGACCACACCCAGAGTGGTGTTGAGTCCGATATGACCACACCCATAGTGGTGTCAGGTCCGATATGACTACACCGGCAGTGGTGGGTCTGATATGACCACATCCACGAGATGTTTGGTCCGTATTCCCGGGAGAGTAATTAGCATGGGAGTAGCCAGGCGCCTATAAGTAAAACATGATAAGACGCATATACATAAGTCAAGGTGGTTGAGTCTTTTGCCTATTGGGATGTCGGATGGCTGAGGTCTGATCCTAGTGCTTTGGCTTGTTTGCTAGATGTATGGTAGGGGTATGCTCTGTTATGAACTCACGATGCTATGATTATCTCACTCAGCTATGAGCTGACCCTCTTTATCCTTTTTCTCTGCTTATGCCATGTGTAAGCAGATTATCAGCAGCAGCAGTAGATAAGTGTTAGGTGGGAGCTTAGCAAGAGTTGAAGGCAAAATGAGGTATGGTCTTCAACTATTCTGTGCTTGGACTACTACTCGGGATTTTGGCCAGTGATCCACACCTTTTTGTAAAATGTTTTGAGAACGTTTTTCATGTGCATACTAGCTTCTGATGTAGTGTGAGATATCCACAAGTGTGGAAAGTTGATGATATGTGTATATTGTGTAATTATGTAAGTTGTGATGATTATAGCATGTATCAGTATAGTATGCATTTGTGTTGTATGAAACTGTGACTATGGCTATGAAAAGCCAATGCATATGGCAGTGAGTGTATATGTTTGTCTATGAATGCATGGATTTAGATGAATTATTTTGCAGGATTAGATGGAAGAACTGTTAGCCCATTACGTGAGTAATTCATGTCGAAATTTTATTTGGGTAAATTTTGAAACTGTAACACCCTAGATTAATTCCGCTGCAATTGTATGAACAATATGATTATGCAAAACGTATAGGGTAGGGTGTTACACCCACCATCGTTCAAGAGGGACGCGAAGAGGCTCTGATACCACTTGTAACATCCCGAACCTTTTCCGACGAAGATATTGTCCGCTTTCGGCCTCGACCCTCACAGTTTTCGACTTGGGGTGTAATTCAAGGTGACTTCTCATAAGGTCACACATCCTTGTTGTACTCCACACTGAACACGTTTAACTTCAGAGTTCTCACATGAACTCCTCTATTTCACCCCAAAACTATCCTTCCTACTATCTTTCTCTTCTCATACAATTAAGGGCAATATATGTCAATTTTTACTTCATACATACAAATATAATTTACCAAATCCATAATGAAATCTATGAAACAAACAATTGTATTTTTTAAGTCCATAATGAACTCAAAACCTTCATATATCCATGGTTTTACAAAATTCAAGTTTTAACAAAACCTTCATTTTTCAAATCCATGAAGCAAACGACCCGTTAACTTAGCTTTCTTAGCCATCAAAATCATCAAACACCCTCGTTCGAACATTGTTCGGAGAGGTGTGAACCCTGTTATTAATTATTGTTCAAAAAGTCAAAGATACAATCCAATTCTATTCAACAGAGTTTTCCTCGCCGGAAAACACAATATTTCGAATTAGAGTGACTTTTTACACAATATATTTTCAAAAAGTTTAAGACCGATTATTCATTTGAATCTCATTTTTGGAACCAATTTGAAATAGAACAAGCATCGGATTGTTCGATTTAGAAGAATCTTATTAGACACAGGCTACTGTCGATAAAAAGAAGAAGAAAAGTTCAAATCTATCAAAGCCTCACCAATGACAACAGGTTTCCGTTGGTGTCAATTTGTTGACCGTGGAAGGATGCTAATTGTGAGTTGCGACGTTATTCACCAACCACCACAAAGCCCACAGGCCCACTAACCAAGCCAACTACCAAACGTGGAGGTTCTGTGTTCAGCGAAAAAATAGTACTGGTTCTGTACTGTTCCTCTTTCGCTCCTCTGTTGCCTGTCAGCAAAGGTTCCCTTGAATCCCTTCTGAAGTTCTATTTTACGATTATAGGGTCAAGTTTATTATTATTATTAGTTAGAATTTGGCTTATAGCAATTGCGTAGGGATACTCTGGAAGTAGGGTTTTAGGCTTTGAGCCCATTCATTCCCCCAATGGTCAAACTAGGTGTACCCAAATTAGTCTTTAACAACATAGAAAATGGTAGGAATCAAATATTTAGGCCTGAATTTGTCGTTTTGGGTAGCTTATAATTTTCTGTTTCTTTCCTCCCCTCCACCACCTCTTCTGCAATTGCCTCTCTCCGTCCGCTAAAGAAGAGAGCGAGCTTGCTGTCAAGGAGGGGAAGGGAATAAAAAGAACCAATGAGTCGTTAAGACAAAAGCAGCCTTTCGGAGATCTCAAGGGCCCATACCCTCGATGTTTCCGATGATGCTTCACCATTAAAGACTGCAGCTTTTTGTTCACCCTTCTGTAGAACATCATAAGACATTCGAGAAAAGCTAGAAGCTAATCTGGTTGATTGATTGAAGAAAAGCTCAAGGGGTAAAGATGGCAGCTTTATCGTCAGCTCAATGTCATTCCTATTCCTCTAATTCCTACCCGCCGTCCTCGTCGAACGGCCAGCGACGTAGTCATGGGCTTCTCAGCTTCTCTTCTGCAATTTCCAGGAGGTCTCCTCCAGCTGTGCTCTGCCTGCAGCAGTCTCTGGGCAATTCTCGATCTAATGTCGTCTTAATGCAGGATGGTTCGTAATTACCCTTTTTCAATTAATTGTTTGTAGGTTTTTACCTGGGGTTGGGTGGTTGCGAATTAGTCCAAGGATGGTAAAAAAAGGTTCAATCTTTGATTTATATTCTCATTGCCCAAATGTTTTGTTTTATTATGGGATATTGATTTGGGTCCGAGTATGAGTATCTAAGTATGATTTGGATGGAACTTTGAGTAATGGTGAGCTTAAGGAGATGATATAAGATTCTTTCTTGGACCATTTCATTACGACGAACCGGTTCGTGTTTATCATTATCTTCTAGTTGTTATGCATGACCTGAAATTTGTAATTATGTACTGAGTAACTGTGTGATTAGTACAAGCATGGTCAAAGTTTCAGGCTTTGAGTTGTATTCTCATAGCCCAAATGTTTGGTTTATTAGGGGGCGCATTTCCTTGGGTTCGATTAAGGGTATCTAAATATAATTGGTTGGAATCTGATTAGAGGTAATTACCTTCCAATTGTTATGTTTTACCCCGAATTGTAATTGTAGTTGTCTAATTAGTTCCAAGCATTGTTAAAGTTACAATCTTTCTTTATTCGTAGCCTCATTGCCCAAATGTTTGGTTTCCTGGGAATCGTTTCGAGTCTGATTAAGGATTTCTAATTACCATTTGGATTGGAATTTGATCGATCATAGGTGCTGTGGCAACTCCTGTAAATCCAGCACAAAAGAAGGAAGCAACCATAAAGAAATTGGAAGATGGTTTGCTTTCTTCTTCAGGAATCTCTTCCGAGGAATTGAAAGAGGCAGCTGGTTTTGATGTTAACGAGAATGAGTCTTCAGTTAGTATTACTGTGGTTGGAGCCTCTGGGGATCTAGCAAAAAAGAAGATTTTTCCTGCACTTTTCGCCCTTTACTATGAGGGTTGCCTTCCAAAAGTATGTCATACTTTTACAAATTTTCCTTGTAACAGATTGAGTAGTCTATCGATTTGTCATATAATAAAGTTTGTGCATTTGCTGTTGGTGGTTGCAGCATTTTACTGTCTTTGGTTATGCTCGCAGCAAGATGACGGATGCCGAGCTTAGGGACATGGTTAGCAAAACTCTAACTTGTAGGATTGACCAGAGGTGACTTCAGTTTTGTGTTTATTTCGTATTGAGAGTTATGTAAGTTGTCATCTCCCAGAGTATAAACCTTTCGATTTTGTGACTTCCCAGGGAGAATTGTGGAGAAAAGATGGATCAATTTCTTAAGAGGTGCTTCTATCATTCTGGTCAATATGATTCGCAAGAACATTTTGCCGCCCTAGACAAAAAACTCAAAGAGCATGAGGTAATGAAGTGTTCTATTGTGAAGCTGTCAGCAATGGGTTTAAAGTTTACGAATTTCAAAGAGATAATGCTCCAAAAAGTGCTTTGTTTTGAGTTTTGACCCAAGGGATCTGTATATGCAGGGTGGTCGAGTGTCAAATCGTCTGTTTTATTTGTCGATTCCCCCAAACATTTTCATAGATGCAGTAAAATGTGCTAGCTCCTCAGCTTCTGCTGCCAGTGGCTGGACTAGAGTCATTGTGGAGAAGCCCTTTGGTCGAGACTCAGAATCATCAGCTGCTTTGACAAAAGCCCTCAAGCAATACCTAACTGAGGATCAAATATTCAGGATTGACCATTATTTGGGAAAGGAACTTGTGGAAAACCTATCAGTCCTCCGGTTCTCTAATCTCATATTCGAACCATTGTGGTCAAGACAGTATATTAGGAATGTTCAGTTGATATTCTCAGAAGATTTTGGCACTGAAGGGCGTGGAGGGTAAAGTTTTTGCATCAGAGTATTTACAGACTTCATCTGGCTGCATATATATGGCTAATGGTCTTTGGTTGTTTTGCTTCTGTCTAGGTACTTTGACAATTATGGGATAATAAGAGACATAATGCAGAACCATTTGCTTCAGATACTCGCACTCTTTGCCATGGAGACTCCCGTTAGCTTGGATGCCGAGGACATCAGAAACGAGAAGGTATTTCTCGAAAAATGAATTATGTCCGATAGTAATTTGTCTATATTGGTCATTGTCCCATTAAGCCCAAAAATTTATGATGCATCACACAAGAAATTACCAGGCACGTCAAGTCGTCTGCTTGTGGAGCACGGGTCCATTCAACACTTGTAGCACTATTTAGTCCCTAATTTTTGGACTATAAGCAGATTGATCACTGAACTTTGATTGTTTACCAACTTCATCTGAAGTTTTCAATAGCTAACATTGCTACACTCACTTTATCAATCTCTGTCAATCTCTTTGTCCACCTTCTATTATTGAAGGAATGCTAAATTGCTAATCATTGATATTGTATTCAGGTCAAAGTTCTGAGATCAATGAGGACTTTGAGGCTCGAAGATGTGGTGATTGGGCAGTACAAGAGCCATACAAGAGGGGGAGTTACTCACCCTGGATATACCGATGACAAGACAGTGCCAAAAGATAGCGTGACTCCGACTTTTGCTGCAGCTGCCCTTTTCATCGATAATGCAAGATGGGATGGAGTTCCTTTTCTGATGAAAGCTGGAAAGGCATTGCATAATAGGAGGTAGATAGAAAATGCATATACTTTTCAGTTGTGTTGATTATGAAAGAGGCAGAGTTCATTGTTTGCAATGCTTGTTCTCTCTACTCAGGGCTGAGATTAGGGTACAGTTCAGACATGTGCCTGGTAACTTGTACAACCGAAATATTGGAACGGATCTTGATCAAGCCACGAACGAGCTTGTGATTCGAGTGCAGCCAGATGAAGCAATATATTTGAAGATCAATAACAAGGTACCTGGACTCGGGATGAGACTGGACCGTAGCAACCTGAATCTTCTCTATTCAACAAGGTAAAAGAGTTTATAACTTTGAATCCATTTATGCTTGAACTAGGGTCTGCAGATCAAGACTGAGCTTGTTTGTTGGGCTTGTTTTAGGTATTCGAAGGAGATTCCGGATGCATACGAGAGGCTTCTTCTGGATGCCATTGAAGGGGAAAGACGACTATTTATTAGAAGTGATGAACTTGATGCTGCTTGGTCGCTTTTCACCCCAGTTCTGAAGGAACTGGAAGAGAAGAGAACCATCCCCGAGTACTATCCATATGGTAGCCGGGGCCCTGTTGGGGCTCATTACCTTGCAGCAAGATACAAAGTGAGGTGGGGTGATCTTGGCATAGAGCAGTAGGCAAAAATGTCCTAGGAGTTGGGATAGTTTGATGAAGGTTTTTGTGATATCCTAATGTGTTGTGTGCTAGTTATGAAGGATATTGGTGTTAGATAGAGAAGCCCAGTTTTTTATGTATGCAAGCAAAAAAGGTATAGGATTGGAAAACATGAAGAAATATTGTTGTCTCATTGTAGGAAAATCCTGATTTTACAGGTCTTTCTGGTGTAGTTTTTTCACTGCAACAAATAAACAGTGACAGCATATTTGCCCCCAATTATCAGCAGCATCTTTGAAAGAGAACTATAAAGTGGCATGAGCACAACTTATTTCATTTATGATTTCTACCTAGTCCCCAATAGGTTTATAGAAGTGTCTAAGCCCTAAGGCAAAAACTTGAGTCAGTAGTAGAAGTGTGTAAGGCAAAAACTTGATCAAGTTTAGCTGAACACTCAACTGCTTAGTTACTCTCTCTAAATCAGCTCAGTGTACAGATCTGCTTCCTGGTAGGGGTGAAACTGGGCCACATAGATACAAAAAGCCATTACCAAACCACCCTCACATAATTAACAAGCTAAAGACCAAAATAGAACCACACAAGTCACCAAGCCCATCCCAGCAACAAAACGTACAGTGGTGCCTCCCCAATAAAGCCAATCCCACCCATAACACCAACTGAAACCAGTAGAAACAGCAACAAAACCTCCCAAAAAATGCAGCATTTCATCTAACAAACCCCAAGAAACACAACCAGCCATTAATCAGCAACATAGGTAACACAAAGTCTTCGATCATTCGAATGATTGTAACATACACATTGATCACAAAGTATAAGTAATCGACTTTCTGAATTGTAGATGCAGGTATGGGAATCCATATGTTGAATAGGGTTTAAAATTCGGGGAGGGGAAACATCCAAAATGGGAGGTTTTTGGGTGGAATATGCTGTTAAAGAGATATCCAAGTCCCTAACATTCAAAATGGGCAACTGCCTAGTTACCCTCTCTAAATCAGCTCTCACTGAACAGATTTGCTTCCTGTCCTGGACATCAGCTATAAATGGCTTCAGTATCTCTCTAAGGACTTCTGCTGCTCAAGAGGTAGAAACTAGCCTGACTTACAGATCCATCTTATCACATTGTTTTGAGAAAGATGTCGGCAGCAGCAAGTTTGCAGGCCCTCTCTTTGTGAATGAAAAAGAATATCCTATGACCCATTGAATCACAGTTTCAAATTGTTCCACATCAACATCAGACCATGATGTTTTGATTGCCCCATTTCATTCTCTCAACTAGAGGTTTCTGTTAGGCTCATTAAAGTCTAAACCCAAACAAACAAGAAAAAGCAGGTGCATGCATTACAAACAGTTCCCTTTCTAAGGAAATTCCCATTTCATCCAATGGTTTGTCAAATTTTTGCTAGGTCTACATCTTTTTCTGGTCCAAGCAAACCACACTTAATTGTAGTGCTCCCACTTACTTCTGTCACTATCTTTTCCTTGTTGTCCCTTCCTCCATCTCTCTTTTCCTAACTAGCAAAGCCTGGAAAAAAGCATCCATCTGGAAAAGACAAGAAATTAAGCACTCTCCTCCTCCTCCTCCTCCTCCTCCTACTACTACTACTACTACTACTACTAAATGCTTTGCTTATAACTCCGGGGAAAAGGGAAAACATTCCTTCTGCAACCCCTTTTATAATAAAGTCCACAACTTTACCCCAAAGCCATCTCGAATTTTCCTCAACAAGATGAAGAAGGGTAGTGGTAGAAGAGGAAGTTTCATGGCAGTGGAGATTCTGTTGGTTTTCCTGATTTTCATGGCTGCCAATGCAATCACAGGTGAGGCAGTGTTTGGAATTGACATGAATCCATGCGCACTCACAACTTGCACAGAAGCCTGCAAGAGTCTTTTGGGGGATAAGTTTGACAGTGCCTCTTGCTACCAAGGAATCATATGTATGTGCTTTGGCTGATGGTTTTCCGGGAGATTCCTAGTCCATATGGGAATATAGGTATATAAAGTTTGGTTCTTTGAAGCAAAGGGGGAAGCTTTAGATATTTATTAGACTCCCTCACCCCTGTCTTTCTATCTGTTGTGAATGATGAAACTTGTACTGAGAAGAATCTTCTCAGAGTTTCACCAGGTACATATATGTGCTTTCATGGGGGATCTAAGAGGCCAAACTGCATGCTGTATTTTGTACAGACTTCGAACCTGCTATATATTAAAGAAGGTAGATTTTGTTCCTTTTGGATTCTATCTTCCCTTTATCTTCTCATCCACGCATTTGCCCACCTGAGAGAATAGAGAGATTGAGTGTGACCAAGACCAAAAAGAGATGAGATTGCTACTGAAACAAAAAAAAAAATTTGTTTCGGTTTTGCTTGTATCTCAGATCCACCCATTTGAAGAGGGATCTTTTTTTATTTTGTTTCTTAAAGATGTTTGCTTTCTTCAGTTTCCATTCTATAACTGAAGAAGAAGAAGAAGATAAAAAGCTGAAATTCCTGTTATAGAGCCATTTTGCAGCAGAAATCAAGGAATGAAAGAAGGGGAGATGGAAAAAATGAAGCCCAACTTGATATAATAGGACAGTTAGGCTAATATAGCAAATAGATAGAAGATAAAAGCCCGAACTTCTAGACAATTAGGCTGATATAGCAGATGGATAGAAGATAAAAGCCCAAACTTCTATCAGTGTAAGGAATCAAAAGAGGGATTCTTCTGTGAATTGGTTCTCATGCAGGCCTTAAGTTGTTACCCTGTATGCTTAATGCTGCTGCTCTCTTTTCCTCCCCACACCCAGCAACTATCAGAAGAGAAGAAATTCCAACTCTTTCATCAATGGAGTACTGCAATAATAAACTACCACTCTTCAACAATGTTCAAACCAAGTAAAGTTAACAAGTTAATAATGGAAGGAAAAAGCTTGAAGATGAAGCTAATGTTTGGTGATCTGTCAACAACAAAGCTTTGAAGGGACCCTCCATATGTTCCCAAGATTAGGGATGGCAATTTTGACCTGACCCGTTTTACCTGACCTGTTTGACCTGTTTTGGGGTGGGTCCGACCCGCCCCGTAGGCGGGGCGGGGCGGGCATGGGTAGTCTCATCGACCCGACCTGCCCTGACCCGCCCCATTCTCGACCCGTTCTTGTCTAAATTACATGAAATCTTAGTCAAATTACTTTGAATTTTACTTCTATCGCATCATATTTTAGCTATAATAAAGTTGTAAATTAGTGAAAACCTCAACTTCTCCAATAATTTAACTACAATTGTAATATTGTTTATTTTCTTAGTTTTATAATATAAATAACGAATATTTCTAATGTTTTTCAAACAAATTGCATACCCATTGGGTCGACCTGCCCCGACCCACGACCCGTGATCAATTACCCGACCTGGACCCGCCCTGCCACGGGGCGGATCTGGGTACCAAGAAACCCGCCCCGGACCTGCCCCATTGCCATTCCTACCCAAGATGGATAGCACTAGTATGGAGAAATTCATTGGTAGAGCCACCATAGGCCATCAATCAATCAATCAATTACCATGTACCCATTATTACTGTTATCAACTAACTTTGGTCTTTTTGGTGTTATTAAGGAAAAGTCTTTAGGATGTATAATAATTAAGTTTGAAAATTTACATGCAGCTTTGTTTTTACAATTGGAATAAAGTCATATTAGGAGGCTGATTTAGGAAGGTGGAAGAAATTTGGTTTGAAAAGTAGAGGGGATGTGACTAAAGGAGTCCATACAATCTAATCTAACCCAATCATATATGGAGTTCCTTGCGAGTACCTCCTTAATTCAAAATTTCCAAGCTTCTCCGCACACGCAGGAAGGGTGGCATGGTCTTTTTATACATTCCATCGTTGCCCAATCATAGAACTGAATGTTGTGAGCTGGGCCCATGGGAATCAAAAATCAATTTAATTGGGTGCTGGCTAGGATTATTAATTTCCAGCCATAGCTGATTTCTTCCGCCCAATAAATTAATAAAATGATTTTCTTTTAGTTTGAAAGTTTTATGGTAGAAAGAAGGACTAATAATATTATAGGACATACCAAACAATCTTGATTTATGAAACTGTATTGATGGTTATACTCAAGAGTTAGTACATTTAGTAGTTTAATTAGAGATAGACAATTTTGCTCATACATATTTTATTATCTAACCCAATTGGGTTGGGTATAGATTCCAAATAAATGGTAGATGGGTAGAGTTTGATGGGTTTGTACTCATACCTATTTACTTGGGTTGGTTGGGTTTTTGACACATGGATTTGGGTTTGTACCCATGCCCAAAGGCAAATTACAGTTTGGTACCTAAACTTAATAGATAAGCATATTTAGTACCTAATTTTTTGCATATAAGTCCTCAAAATATCGATAGAATATTACATTTTAGTACCTAAATTTTTTAGTCTTACATTTTGGTACCTAAATTTTCAAGCTTTACAAATAGGTCTAATTTTCGTGTCTGTAGTTAAAACACCCTCAAGTAAATGGATATCGATATCCAACCCATACTCATTTACATTATGAAGAAATATACATACCTTACCCAAACCCATCTACAAACCCTCAAAGGCTCAAACCCATATACACTTTATCCATACCCTACCCATATCTAACGGATCTATTTAGATGGGTAATTAGGGCTGTCCATTTGGTTTTGGTTTTTTGGTTTTAACCGAAACCAAACCAATTGGAAAGCTAATGGTTTCAGTTTTTTGGTTTTAAACCAATAAGCAACTTAATGGTTTTGGTTTGGTTAAAACCGAAAAACCAATAGAAACCATTAAGAAACCAATAAGAATAAAATTATTTATCAATAATTTTTTTTGTTTCTTTTGACACGCATGCCAACCAATAATTTGTAATGGCCATTTACCATTATTATGACGTTTATTCAATAAAAAGGAGGGAAATATGAATAAATATGAGTGTATGAGTACATGTTGGTTTGTTGGTTAACCAAAACCATTAAGGCCCTTATTGGTTTTTTGGCAACCAAAAACCAATAAGGACCTTAATGGTTTTGGTTTTTGGGATTTGGTTTTTGGTTTTTCATACTTAATTAAACCAAACCAAATTGACAGCCCTATGGGTAATTGCCATCCCTAAGTTTAATCCATAGTGTACCATGTACCTAATGTCGTTGTTGAATAAAATCAGAATAAAACAATATATTCATTGTGCGCTACACGCCTACACCAGTATGAGATAGGCCAAAAGCAACTAATATAGGTAAGTTGTCAGTTTACTCTCATTAAACCACTTGACACAAAATATTCATAATATTTGTTTAGTATTTAAACCTAGCTGATCGTAGGTGGTTTTAGAATTCGACCGATTGATATAGCATAATAAGATTATACATGGGAACAATCATACATAAAATTGATGAGACACATGCTATTCTCCCAAATTAAAACTTTGTCCATGAATCACTTGGTTAGGGTTTGGGACAAAGGTCAAATAGATTATTAATTAAACATTATTGATTGAGGGTTCAGTAACTCCACTTTAAAACCTTAGCCAAGGGATACTCAAAGGTTTGAGGAGAAAGGCATGGGGAATTTGTTAGTTAATAGTCGAGTAGGTTTGACAAACATGAAAGAAAGTTTTGTGAATGATACGTAATTTAACAATTTGGCTAAGAAAATTGACAATAGTCTTTTTTCTGAAGCACACCATAAGTTTCTGAGGGTATGAGATCGATGACCATTTAATTGTTTATAATCTTTCTAATTATTTCACACTGCTTGATCTTATAAAATTATTACTCTCCACGTTAAATTTTCATAAATTGATGCACACAAATCAAAGTTGAAAAGAATTGATCAAAAATTGACTAAACTAGCAAGAAGAAAACGTCCTATTTGTATAAGACAAAAGCGTATATATGGAAAAAAAATTAACTAACCAACGAGTAATCAATTGATTTATAATGGTTTTACTTTTACATGCTATCAATTCTAAGTTGGCTGCTAAGCTTCGCTTATTTTACTAATTTCTATATAGGACTTCAATGAGATGAATAACTTACTAGCTCAAATAAATAGATTGTTAAGGTCTATCAAACTTGCTGAAATTGTTATAGTCTTTTTTATAGGCTGAAAATTATTATAGTCGTCTTCGACTGATGCTTTATGGAGATTTTATAGACTATTGATATTTACAATATTTGAATATTGTGAAGCAATTTATCTGATGAATTTCTTATCTAAGAATTTTAATTTAATTAAATTGTTAAACGGTATAATATTGGAAATTCATCTTATAAATTTCCAATGTTGTGGAGTAATGATGTGGAATGGTGAAAGTACCAAACTCACAAGGAATTCCAATCAACCAAAGGTTTTATTGTGTTGCAGACAAGGCAAAGTGAACCTCCCTCGAATGCAACCTCAACTATTGAAAGCAAATACTTCAAAGGAACGTCACTTTATGGAACATATTCGAAGCTATAATGGGGTCTTCTCATTAACTTTTAGTGGAGATAAAATGGACCGATATATAAATGATGGACTCGAAGTATATGTTTATTCGACTGGAGGTCAAGTAAATCATCAAATCGATAGCCTGGTATATATCTTCTGAAAGGAACAAACAAAAATTTTCTCAACTCTACATCTGTGAAACCGACAATAAACTCCAAAATCTATTAATTTTTTTCTCCGCATATCCAGTTTCAAATCCTTTCTACAATTCAATTATTCAACAACTACAAGAGATGTTGGATTCAAGTAATATCTTAAAGACATTATGATCTCCAAGGCATAGATTGAATGACACCATTGTTCAGCAAGTTGAAACTAAGTTGTTTGCTTAAAGAGAAGGGAATGGTAGAGAATATGATTCAACATATGTAAATGATGTCACTGCTTTCATTGTTGATGATACCGTGGAGCAAACATTTTTCCTAATATTGTTGTCCATCATAAAAGTCATAAAATGGA